TACACGACATTTCATAGAGGTGGATAATTGAAAGAGGGAATTGGCTGATAAAGATGAAAGTGCAGTAAAGAATAGAAAAGTGATAATGTTGGAAGTGAAATTCAAATTGAATGTAAATGGGATTTTGGAAGAAATAGCTAACTGTGGGAATGTTAGCACTGTTGCTGTTGAATAGACTCTAGATATGCGGCCAGAGGAATTTAGTGATGGAGAATTTATTGTACTAAGTAAGGAGCATGGTTTTGATAAAAATGATGAAAATGTCCCAAAGGAAGTGACACGGGCACAAAATTTCATATTACAGGAACTCTTGAAGATGTCTCATATTGAAAGTGCAAAGGTTAACACATTGGAAACTTATCTAAAATTAGAAAGGAATGTGACAATTCATCAAGGCATAGAAAAGATTCTCACTCTGTATTGTAAGTTATGTGATGAGAAGACGATAAAGTACTATGCAAACTCTTCTTGATAAGTTTATTACAAAAATAGAAATAAAACTTTAATACTCCATGTTTTAAATTACAAAGTATTAAATATAGGTTAGTTTTACTGTAAGGGAGTTTTTAATATTTTTGATAGATACTTTAACCTTATGCTTCTGTGTGTTTGTGTCAGTTTAGACCACAGTCGAAGATTTAGGAGACTCCATTTGTACTCTCTTCTGATACCTGGTCTGCCTCTGCTGTTATTTTACCTATTTGTTCAAGCTCTTCTGATGATTTCCTATTTTAATGGACATATATCCGCTTAGGTTTTTGATTTCCTAAAAAAAAAAGTACTGGCCTAGATCTTGTTGTGTTTTAGACTCACTATACTCTTGCTCTCCATTTCTTTAATTGTTCCGTTTTGAAATAAGTTAGACCAGCTCCTTCAGTTTATTTACCATTCCTCTCCTCTTAGTTCTTGCAGTCATTTGAAAATAGGCACCTCGAGGACATAGGTTATGTTTGTTTTATTACTGAATAGCCAGTACTTCACCTTGAGACTGGCATGTGGTCAATACTGAATGTTTTATTTGAAGGAATGTGTTCATAAAAGCCGCTACCCACCATCCACCCTGCCCCATTCACCCATTTCTCCCGTCTCTTTATGTCTTCATCTTGGCTTTTGGGAAATACCACTACACCTTTCCATACCTCAACCCTGTGTCCATGTCCATTCCCTTTTGCATTTTCTTTGTTCTAGCCGAAACAGCTTCTCATTATTCATCTGCCACCTTCCATTAGCCTTCCTTCCTTTGAGCCTTTTCTTTTGCTGGCCTTCCTCCTAGAATTTTGCTCTGCTCTGTCCTCTCTCACCTTCCCTCAACTCTTGCAATATCATATCATGATTTCCCTCTTTTAAGCCCAGCCCAAAGGATTTCTCTATGATGCACTTTCTGATCTCCCTCTCCCTAACCCCTTCAACCTTTCTCCTTTAAACAACTAGAGAACTTTGCAACTGCTTTGTAGGTCCTACCAAATATGAGCCATTTATGCTGTTTTTACCTTTTCCCACACAAATAGAAGCTTCCTGAGGTATCGCTTATTCTTTCCTTCAATGCATAGCATAGTCCTTATACATAGTTGATATTCACTGCATATTTTGTTGAATTGGCAATGTGGCATTTCAGAGAGCTGCCCAAAACACTGCATCCCACTAAAAATATTGAGAATTGTTTTATGGATTCTTCTTCTTTTTCTTCTAACTCACAAATAAAAATTCTGTCATTGTTCTTTGGAATTGTATGGTGTATCCACTTAGTTTAAAATGTCGAATGCCATAAGAGCGTAAAATGAAACAGTGGCAAAATGTTAGAGCTGGAAAGATTTTTTTTGAGATCCATCTAGTCCAACTCTTTAGTTTTTCAGTGAATAAACTGCTATCTAGAATGCTTAAGTGATTTGCCTCATATCATACAACCAGTTGGTGTGAACATTTGGACTTGAGATGCAGTCACCTAACCCTCTCCACTGCTCATTTCACAAGCTGCCATAGTGCATATGAGGATATTTTGTGTAGTTAAACTGCTTTAAAAAAGGCATCTAATCTGGTACTGCCTTTTATAGATTAACAAATAGGAAATTGAGTCTCTAAATAGATTTTTCTCTCTCCCTCCCTTAATTACTACATATTCTCTGTCAAGATCCATTTACATCTACTGGGAAATTTTTTGTGGGAAAAAATTAACCTCGGATGGCATAGATTCGCTTGGTAACATTTAAGTAAACTTTTTATTGAAGTATAACATGTATATAGTAAAGTATGTAAATTATAAGTGTGTAGTTTGAATGTTCACAAAGTGAACATATTCCTGTGACCAGCAGCACCCTGATCAGGAAATGGAGTAGCACCAGCAAGTTTAGAAACATTTGAAAAAACAAAATATTTGAAGAAATAAAGGTTTCGAAGCTTTATAATTTTCTTTTTTCTCCCCACAGGTATTGTCAGTCTGTGTGTTAACAATAATCCTTGGTTGTATATTTGGGTTGAAACCAAGCTGTGCCAAAGAAGGTAATTAGTACACTGTGTGTGTGTGTGTGTGTGTGTGTGTGTGTGTGTGTGTGTGTGTGTGTGTGTGATATTCATCCTTCTTCAGAATGTGATCAAGGTAAGCATGTCCGAATCCTATGGGTACTCAGATATTGCAGATTTGATGCTTCAGCCTTCTTCAGAATGTGATCAAGGTAAAGCATGTCCTAATCCTATGGGTACTCAGATATTGCAGATTTGATGCTGCTTTGATCCTTCTTCTTCAAGCTCTTCTATAATTTTCATATAGTATTTTTTTACTTGCAAAACTTCATTTCAAAACAATGAAGAGGAGCTATGACTGAAAAAGCAACCAGTCAACCAACCAAACAAACAAAAAAGCAAATTAACAGAAAATAAAGCTGTCTAGAACAAAGAAGCAAACAAGGAGACATGGCCGACAGGGTCTGGTGCCGAGCTCCTGGAGCCTTCTCCCTGACTTCCTCTTGGCGCTCCTAGGACACCCTTTCTCCCCAAGCAGTTGCTGAAGCAGCCTAGGAAGTTATAAGGTGACAAGTTAGCATCCCTGGGCAACCAGAAGC